AACAGTTTGGCACCATTTTTGAGGAAAGTGGAAAACGGTCGATTTTTGATGAAATTGTGAACGCGCACCTTAGGGATGCTTCAGTAAAATCATTTGCCGCAGGTGAAGTAGTCGAGGGTTGATTTTTGGCCTAGGATCATAAGACTTCCGTTTTGACCGCCAAACCTTTCAGGGGAGAGTTTGCAACAGTTTGGCACCATTTTTGAGCAAAGTGGAAAACGGTCGATTTTTGATGAAATTGTGACCGCGCGCCTTAGGGATTTTTCCAGAATTCATTTTCCGCAGGTGAAGTAGTCGAGGTCTGATTTCTTGGCCTATGATCAAAAGACTTCGTTTGCACCGCCAAACCTTTCAGGGGAGAGTTTGCAACAGTTTGGCACCATTTTTGAGCAAAGTGGAAAACGGCCGATTTTTGATGAAATTGTGACCGCGCGGCTTAGGGATTTTTTCAGAATTTTTTCCCGCAGGTGAAGTAGTCGAGGGCTGATTTCTTCGCCTATGATCAAAAGACTTCCGTTTCCACCGCCAAACCTTTCAGGGGAGAGTTTGCAACAGTTTGGCACCATTTTTGAGCAAAGTGGAAAACGGCCGATTTTTGATGAAATTGTGACCGCGCGCCTTAGGGATTTTTCCAAAAAATATTTTCTACAGGTGAAGTAGTCGAGGGCTGATTTCTTGGCCTATGATCAAAAGACTTCCATTTCCACGCCAAAACCTTTCAGGGGAGAGTTTGCAGTAGTTTGGCACCATTTTTGAGCAAAGTGGAAAACGGTCCGATTTTCGATGAAATTGTGACCGAGCGCCTTAGGGATTTTTCAAAAAAATCTTTTTCTACAGATGAAGTAGTCGAGGTCTGATTTCTTGGCCTATGATCAAAAGACTTCTGTTTACACCGCCAAACCTTTCAGGGGAGAGTTTGCAACCGTTTGGCACCATTTTTGAGCAAAGTGGAAAACGGCCGATTTTTGATGAAATTGTGACCGCGCGGGTTAGGGTTTTTTCAGAAAAATATTTTTTCCGCAGGTGAAGTAGTCGAGGGCTGATTTCTTGGCCTATGATCAAAAGACTTCCGTTTGCACCGCCAAACCTTTCAGGGGAGAGTTTGCAACAGTTTGGCACCATTTTTGAGCAAAGTGGAAAACGGCCGATTTTTGATGAAATTGTGACCGCGCGCCTTAGGGATTCTTCAGAAAAAATGATTTTCCACAGGTGAAGTAGTCGAGGGATGATTTCTTGGCCTATGATCATAAGACTTCCGTTTCCACCGCCAAACCTTTCAAGGGAGAGTTTGCAACAGTTTGGCACCATTTTTGAGCAAAGTGGAAAACGGCCGATTTTTGATGAAATTGTGACCGCGCGCCTTAGGGATTTTTCAGAAAAATCTTTTTCCGCAGGTGAAGTAGTCGAGGTCTGATTTCTTGGCCTATGATCAAAAGACTTCCGTTTGCACCGCCAAACCTTTCAGGGGAGAGTTTGCAACCGTTTGGCACCATTTTTGAGCAAAGTGGAAAACGGCCGATTTTTGATGAAATTGTGATCGCGCGGCTTAGGGATTTTTTCAGAATTTTTTTTCCCGCAGGTGAAGTAGTCGAGGGCTGATTTCTTGGCCTATGATCAAAAGACTTCCGTTTCCACCGCCAAACCTTTCAGGGGAGAGTTTGCAACAGTTTGGCACCATTTTTGAGCAAAGTGGAAAACGGCCGATTTTGATGAAATTGTGACCGCGCGCCTTAGGGATTTTTCAAAAAAATCTTTTCTACAGGTGAAGTTGTCGAGGGCTGATTTCTTCGCCTATGACCAAAAGACTTTCATTTCCACAGCCAAACCTTTCAGGGAAGAGTTTGTAGTAGTTTGGCACCATTTTTGAGCAAAGTGGAAAACGGCCGATTTTTGATGAAATTGTGACCGAGCGCCTTAGGGATTTTTCAAAAAAATCTTTTTCTACAGATGAAGTAGTCGAGGGCTGATTTCTTGGCCTATGATCAAAAGACATCCGTGTGCACCGCCAAACCTTTCAGGGGAGAGTTTGCAACAGTTTGGCACCATTTTTGAGGAAAGTGGAAAACGGCCGATTTTTGATGAAATTGTGACCGCGCGCCTTAGGGATTCTTCAGAAAAATCATTTGCCGCAGGTGAAGTAGTCGAGGGTTGATTTCTTGGCCTATGATCAAAAGCCTTCCGTATTCCCCGCCAAACCTTTCAGGGGAGAGTTTGCAACAGTTTGGCACCATTTTTGAGCAAAGTGGAAAACGGCCGATTTTTGATGAAATTGTGACCGCGCGCCTTAGGGATTTTTTCAGAATTTTTTCTTCCGCAGGTGAAGTAGTCGAGGTCCGATTTCTTGGCCTATGATCAAAAGACTTCCGTTTGCACCGCCAAACCTTTCAGGGAGAGTTTGCAACAGTTTGGCACCATTTTTGAGCAAAGTGGAAAACGGCCGATTTTGATGAAATTGTGACCGCGCTCCTTAGGGTTTTTTCTAAATTATCTTTTTCTACAGTTTAAGTAGTCGAGGGCTGATTTCTTGGCCTATGATCAAAAGCCTTCCGTATTCACCGCCAAACCTTTCAGGGAAGAGTTTGCAACCGTTTGGCACCATTTTTGAGCAAAGTGGAAAACGGACGATTTTTGATGAAAGTGTGACCGCGCGCCTTAGTGATTTTTCAAAAAAATCTTTTTCTACAGATGAAGTAGTCGAGGTCTGATTTCTTGGCCTATGACCAAAAGACTTCCATTTCCACATCAAAACCTTTCAGGGAAGAGTTTGTAGTAGTTTGGCACCATTTTTGAGCAAAGTGGAATACGACCGATTTTTGATGAAATTGTGACCGAGCGCCTTAGGGATTTTTCAAAAAAATCTTTTTCTACAGATGAAGTAGTCGAGGTCTGATTTCTTGGCCTATGATCAAAAGACTTCTGTTTACACCGCCAAACCTTTCAGGGGAGAGTTTGCAACCGTTTGGCACCATTTTTGAGCAAAGTGGAAAACGGCCGATTTTTGATGAAATTGTGACCGCGTGGCATAGGGATTTTTTCTGAATTTTTTCTCCCACAGGTGAAGTAGTCGAGGGCTGATTTCTTGGCCTATGATCAAAAGACGTGCGTTTCAAACTACAAAACTTAGTGGGGAGAGTTTGCAAGAGTTTTGAACCATTTTTGAGCAAAGTGGAAAACGGCCGATTTTTGATGAAATTGTGACCGCGCGCCTTAGGGATTTTTTCACAAAAAAGCTTTTCTACAGGTGAAGTAGTCGAGGGCTGATTTCTTGGCCTATGACCAAAAGCCTTCCGTATCCCCGCCAAACCTTTCAGGGAAGAGTTTGTAGTAGTTTGGCACCATTTTTGAGCAAAGTGGAAAACGGCCGATTTTTGATGAAATTGTGACCGCGCGGCTGCGTTATTTGTTTAGAATATTTTTGCTGAGGTGAAGTAGTCGAGGGCTGATTTCTTGGCCTATGATCAAAAGACTTCCGTGTGCACCGCCAAACCTTTCAGGGGAGAGTTTGCAACAGTTTGGCACCATTTTTGTGGAAAGTGGAAAACGGCCGATTTTCGATGAAATTGTGACCGCGCGGCTTAGGGATTTTTTCAGAAATTTTTTTCTCGCAGGAGAAGTAGTCGAGGTCTGATTTCGTGGCCTCTGATCAAAAGACTTCCGTGTGCCCCGCCACACCTTTCCGGGGAGTTTGCAACCGTTTGGCACCAATTTTGAGCAAAGTGGAAATCGGCCGATTTTGATGAAATTGTGACCGCGCGGCTTAGGGATTTTTCAGAATTTTTTTCCCGCAGGTGAAGTAGTCGAGGGCTGATTTCTTGGCCTATGATCAAAAGACTTCCGTTTCCACCGCCAAACCTTTCAGGGAGAGTTTGCAACAGTTTGGCACCATTTTTGAGCAAAGTGGAAAACGGCCGATTTTGATGAAATTGTGACCGCGCGCCTTAGGGATTCTTCAGAAAAATCATTTGTCGCAGGTGAAGTAGTCGAGGGTTGATTTCTTGGCCTATGATCAAAAGACTTCCGTATTGCCCGCCAAACCTTTCAGGGAGAGTTTGCAACAGTTTGGCACCATTTTTGAGCAAAGTGGAAAACGGCCGATTTTTGAAGAAATTGTGACCGCGCGCTTAGGGATTTTTCCATATTTTTTTTTCGCAGGTGAAGGAGTCGAGGTCTGATTTCTTGGCCTATGATCAAAAGACTTCCGTTTGCACCGCCAAACCTTTCAGGGGAGAGTTTGCAACAGTTTGGCACCATTTTTGAGCAAAGTGGAAAACGGCCGATTTTTGATGAAATTGTGACCGCGCTCCTTAGGGATTTTTCCGAAAAATCTTTTTCCGCAGGTGAAGTAATCGAGGGCTGATTTCTTGGCCTATGATCAAAAGCCTTCCGTATTCACCGCCAAACCTTACAGGAAAGAGTTTGCAACCGTTTGGCACCATTTTTGAGCAAAGTGGAAAACGGACGATTTTTGATGAAAGTGTGACCGCGCGCCTTAGTGATTTTTCAGAAATATTATTTTCCACAGGTGAAGTAGTCGAGGGCTGATTTCTTGGCCTATGATCAAAAGACTTCCGTTTCCACCGCCAAACCTTTCAGGGGAGAGTTTGCAACAGTTTGGCACCATTTTTGAGCAAAGTGGAAAACGGTCGATTTTTGATGAAATTGTGACCGCGCGGCTTAGGGATTTTTTCAGAATTTTTTTTTTCACAGGTGAAGTAGTCGAGGGCTGATTTCTTGGCCTATGATCAAAAGACTTCCGTTTGCACCGCCAAACCTTTCAGGGGAGAGTTTGCAACAGTTTGGCACCATTTTTGAGGAAAGCGGAAAACGGTCGATTCTTGATGAAATTGTGACCGCGCGCCTTAGGGATTCTTCAGAAAAATCATTTGCCGCAGGTGAAGTAGTCGAGGGTTGATTTCTTGGCCTATGATCATAAGACTTCCGTATTGCCCGCCAAACCTTTCAGGGGAGAGTTTGCAACAGTTTGGCACCATTTTTCTTCCTTCCGGTATGATGGCGGACAGCACTCTACTAATGTGAGCCCATTGATTTTATCTTTTTATTTTCTCTTACTCCTTTTAAAGACTATTTTAATGAATATTGAGCTCAGATAATTTTAAGCACCTCACCCCATTCCATCCCACGCTCCGCTTTCCTGACTCTTCTTGGAGCTTTAAAGCCGCATTGACTATCTTATCACACTGCGAAGAGCTTACAGGAAGATTCATGGGCTGTTCCCACCACAAGTCTGGAGGCACAGACGGAGCATAACTTAGTGTTATGCCAATAACCTTTGGCACACTCCTCCTCCTTGAATAGGATACTTTCAAGGAAAATACTCCTCGACTCTTTGAAAAATTTAGGGAAGATAAAAGAGCGAGGCAAAGGGAGAGATGACTCAGCAATTAGACAGCCCTGCTGATGCGAGGAGGGGGGTTGGCAAACGCTGCAGAGAATCGGAGGACTCAGAGGAAATGGCATGTTTGCCCCTTACCAAGCAAACCAAAATCAGCGAATTCTTCCATGGAAAAACAAAGGACACTTTTAATATTCCGACCTCGAACAGTTTCTCGCCATTAGCAGAGATAATAGATAAGGAAATTACACCGAAGGAACCACCCACTAAACAACCCATTAACTCCTTAAACAACTCCACCACGAGACCAAAAGGCCCCAAAAAGCTCCAACTATGCCCATTCAGGCGGAAGACTGCATCGGAGAACAAGCAAACTATCTCTCTGAATTATTGCTTGAACACTCTACCACGTTAGACCTAGTGGCTAAAACCGTGGACTGTATCTTTAAATATATAAGAGACATCAAAGGCTCCTTAGAGAATATTACATCCTTTGTATCCCCAAAAGTTAATGTCAGCCCTGTAGACGTTTCACCGGAGGATAGGGCTGAACCAACGCCCAGAGTACCTGCCCTATTACGTTTAACCCCGCAGACTGGCTGCAAATCTGAAAACGAACAATCTATGGAAGATTCACACACCATATCTTCCTATAATCTTTCGTTACAAGCCACTAGACTTTGTTTAATTATCCTTCCCTTCAAAGGTCAGGTTGTTAACTGGTCGTCTACACATGTCGCAAGAAGGCATTTGGCTGAGCTTCTGGGCGTAGATCCTCTTTCCATCGATCTGAAATCCGCTGTCCACATTTACAGCAAGCCACACATGCAGAGGATACTGCTCACCTTTGATTCCAAAAAGCTTCCAACTTATATGATGTCCTTACGAAGCTACCTGACTAACTATAGAATTTTTATCACAAGAGTTTTTATCAACACTAAGATTTGCCCTCTTATTCCCTACTCTCCAGTTAAAAGGAAAGCAATTAAAAATGAGGGCATTCCATCTACTACGAGCTCTACCTCTCCACCCTCAGACTTAATTAGTTGGACAGAGACCCCCATGCCCCTCCTATCAAAGGCTACTCATCTTGAGAATTCGATGGAGCAGGAATTACTTGTCTCCTTCTCCCATCTGCCAAAAGCCGAACAAACAGAGATAACGGACAGACTAGATGAGTTATTACTCTATCTCCGCAACTTTGAAGATCTAGCGCCCATAAAAGAGGCAAATATTCCACCTAACTTGGAGCGAAAAATGGGTCATGAATCTCCTCAGGTCACGGCAGAACACACACCTCTACTCTGCCCATCTGAAATCCACGCCGAAATCTCTGTGGCGCACCTAATCACATTACCGGAGACTCAACAATCAAATGGTTGCATCTTCCACGACCCCGTGAAAACCCTAGATGCTATTGAAGAGACAAAATGACTCTCACCCCTACTACTATCCTGGAACGTTGCTGGATGGCAATCGAAAACAAGGGACAAAGACGTTTTAACCTACGTATCACAGTTCAAGATCATCCTGCTCCAAGAAACCTGGATGCAAAATCCTTTCGAACTACACAATTACTTTGCTTTCCATTCCCCTGCCTCAATCGGCCCAAAAGGCGGAAGACCGGCGGGAGGTTTGAGCACCTTCGTATCGACAGATCTAGGAGCCTCCCCTATCCAATTGAAAATCGATAAAAAATGGATTTTGGCCGTTAAAATATTCTCCACCCATTTTAAGATCATATGCATCAATGTTTATATTCACCCACTTATGAAACAAACTGATCTTAAAAACATCTGGAACGAACTGGAAGACTGCATTCTCCTTGTCTCAAATAAGTTTCCTCTGCCTCCTTAATTATTGGTGGGGATTTTAATGCAAGGCTAGGCCACTCAGACGAACAGTTAATCAAGGAAAGTGGAATGGGTCCCCTAAATGCTAATGATGAATATTGGCCCCTATTCAGGCGTCACTCACTTGACCCAGTCACCAATTTTGCTGGTACATGTCTTTTTTAATGGCACTTAGATTAAACCTTGTTATTTTAAACGGCCTCTCCTCGGGGACTGCCCTGGCCAATTTACTTACTGGTCAGGCCTAAGGCATTCTGTTATTGACTACATCCTTGTCTCCCAAGAACTTTTCGATGAATATATTGAATTTACTGTAGATATAAGAACCGAAAGTGACCATTTACCCCTAAATCTTAAAAGGACTGAATTTTGGGAACCCTCTAGATGTGGGCTTGCCCCGCAGACTCCTGATCCTAGCGCTTACAACAAATAGGTAGATCCAGAATTAAATGGTCCCCTTATGTTAATAACCATTTTGGTATTTGGACACAATCAATGGAAGGTCAACTCCTCTGGGCTGATCTGACTTCCAACGACACTGAAGAGACCTCCCCAATCGACCATTATAACACATTAATCCGAAAACTCCAACCGTTATTGTCAAGACCCAGAAGATCTAACCAAAATGACTCCCCTACCAACAAAAATGGTTTGACCACGAATGCACTCAGGCAAAACTTATACTCAGGGAATGCTTTAAGGTCTTCCAGCAAAATCCTAACCCTATCACTAAATTGGAGTTACAACTTAAAAAAAAGAACTACAAAGAGTTATTAAAAACCAAAAACAGAACCGCAGACTCTCTCATCTGGCAGGCCCTCATAAAAGCGTCAATAGAAAAAGACAATTCTAACTTCTGGAAAATCATCTCCAGTCAAACCAAAGCTCCTAATGAGGGCACAATAATCCCTGCAAATTCATGGGAAGAGCACTATAAAGTGCTGTTTAGGGAACATTGTCCTTCTGCGCCGCTTAACATCCCCTTAGATAATGATACACCATGGCCCCCAACATCTGAAACTGAAATCGCTTCGCTAATTCTACAAATGAAATCTGGCAAAGCCCCAGGAAGTGATTTCATTGTCGCTGAACTTTTGAAAGCGCAAATAAACTGGTGGGCCCCGGTCCTTGCAAATCTATTTTCATATATAGACAAGACAACTGAAATCCCTAAAGATTGGGGACTAGCTATAATTGTTCCCATATTTAAAAAGGGCAACCCTCTGATCCATCTAATTATAGACCAATTAGTCTCCTGAATGTGATCTGTAAACTTTATACAAAACATCTATGCCTAAAATTATGGGAATGGTTAGATCATAACAACTTGCTAGAAATTGAACAAGCAGGGTTTACATCCGGACGTTCCACCATTGATCACTGCTTAGTGTTAGATTACTTTGTCTATAAGTATGCGAAATATTGGAAAAGTCATTATATGCGGCCTTTGTGGACCTAAAGGCAGCATTTGATTCTGTATCTAGGAGCAGGCTCTGGGCCAAATTGGCCAATATGGGTATTAACAGAAGGTTATTACTTCTGATGATTAAGCTTCATGAGAACAATACCCTCCAGATAAGACTTGCACAGGACGGCAGACTCTCTAGAGAAATCCCAGTCCAAAGAGGAGTTAGACAAGGATGCCTATTAGCCCCATTCCTATTTAACATCTATGTTAACTCCCTGGTCACATGCTGCCGTGAAATTGAAACCCACCCCCCTGTGTTCTCTAATGGCAGAAAAGTACCAATTTTAATGTATGCGGATGACGCTGTTCTTCTCTCTCAAACCAAAGTGGGTCTGAAACGTGCCTTAGGAAAGTTTAGTGACCAATGTAACACTGAACTGCTAACAATTAACTTTGCCAAAACCAAAATTGTACATTTTAACCGCTCCTTCAGGAAGGATAATTGGAGCGTAAAGGGAAACGCCATTGAACAGACTAAGACCTTCCAATATTTTGGCATTACTTTCTTATAATGCCAAATTCTCAGCACACTTGACCACATCAGCTATATCAGCAGAAAGAAGTGCAAATGCTATCCTTAGATTATTCAGAAGGAAAGGAGCTGGCTTCCTCCCGATGGCCCTAACAGTCTTTCAGGCAAAATCTTTAGCCCAACTTCTATATGGCTCTCAAATTAGCCCCTCTGCCAACCTTAAGACCCTTGAAACAGTACAATCTAAATTCTTAAGATCATTATTTGCTACCCCTAAGTGTACACCTAATGCAGTCTTAAGGCAAGAGGCAGGACTGCCCAGAGTGGAATTAAAAGTCTGGGAACAAGCAATATCCCTCTGGCTGAAAATCCATTACAATCCTAAGGGTCTATTACCTTGCTTCCTGGCCGCAGTTCCCTATCCTCCTTGGCTTATGCAAATAACTAACAAGATCAAACAAATTGGCCTAAACCCTGAAAATATTTTTATTGGAACTCTGAACAAGGCAAAAGCTACTATTACTCGGAGACTTTATGATATCGAATTACAACAAGAAGGCGCCCTACTCCCAGAGACGTATAGATGTTTAAAAGCTTGGCCTAATTTTACAGCTGCCCCTTACTTAACCAACATCACTAGTGAAGCCTATAGATGGGCTTTCTAGAGCCCGCTTTGAGACAATGCCCTCAGCAGTGCTGTACGGCAAATTCACGCGGGTTCCAATGCATGCGCGTCTCTGCCCTTTGTATGTCTAATAAGGTAGAATCTGTCACACACATTCTTCTATCTTGCGAATTCTATAGTGAAGAACGAGCTCAACTTATTTTACCGCTTTTATCAAAATTTATACCCCTTCAATATTATTTGGAATCCTCCCTGAAATTCTTCGAAAATACCTCCTGGAAGATTCCTCAAGCTCAGTATCATATGAGGTGGCTAAATTTTGCACTTTAGTAATTAAGAAACGTAAATCTCTTCTGTCGAATGGCACACTGCGAAGTTCCCTTGTGTAACCTTTTTTCTTTTCTGAAGTTGTTGCTGATTTCTTGTTGTCTGATCTTGGGATGTTTAGTGTCACTGGCTTTGGCCGCAATAAACTTGAACTTGAACTTGAACTTTGGCACCATTTTTGAGCAAAGTGGAAAACGGCTGATTTTTGATGAAATTGTGACCGTGCGCCTTAGGGATTTTTTCCAGATTTTTTTTTTCCGCAGGTGAAGTAGTCGAGGTCTGATTTCTTGGCCTATGATCAAAAGACTTCCGTTTGCACCGCCAAACCTTTCAGGGGAGAGTTTGCAACCGTTTGGCACCATTTTTGAGCAAAGTGGAAAACGGCCGATTTTTGATGAAATTGTGACCGCGCGTCTTAGGGATTTTTTCAGAATTTTTTTTCCCGCAGGTGAAGTAGTTTAGGGCTGATTTCTTGGCCTATGATCAAAAGACTTCCGTTTGCACCGCCAAACCTTTCAGGGGAGAGTTTGCAACAGTTTGGCACCATTTTTGAGCAAAGTGGAAAACGGCCGATTTTTGATGAAATTGTGACCGCGCGCCTTAGGGATTTTTCAAAAAAATCTTTTCTACAGGTGAAGTAGTCGAGGGCTGATTTCTTGGCCTATGATCAAAAGACTTCCGTTTCCACCCCCAAAACTTTCAGGGAAGAGTTTGCAACAGTTTGGCACCATTTTTGAGCAAAGTGGAAAACGGCCGATTTTTGATGAAATTGTGACCGCGCGGCTTAGGGATTTTTCCAGAATTTTTTTTCCCGCAGGTGAAGTAATCGAGGGCTGATTTCTTCGCCTATGATCAAAAGACTTCCGTGTGCACCGCCAAACCTTTCAGGGGAGAGTTTGCAACAGTTTGGCACCATTTTTGAGCAAAGTGGAAAACGGCCGATTTTTGATGAAATTGTGACCGCGCGCCTTAGGGATTCTTCAGAAAAATCATTTGCCGCAGGTGAAGTAGTCGAGGGTTGATTTCTTGGCCTATGATCATAAGACTTCCGTATTGCCCGCCAAACCTTTCAGGGGAGAGTTTGCAACAGTTTGGCACCATTTTTGAGCAAAGTGGAAAACGGCCGATTTTTGATGAAATTGTGACCGCGCGCCTTAGGGATTTTTCAGAATTTTTTTTTTCCGCAGGTGAAGTAGTCGAGGGCTGATTTCTTGGCCTATGATCAAAAGCCTTCCGTATTCCCCGCCAAACCTTTCAGGGGAGAGTTTGTAGTAGTTTGGCAACTTTTTTGAGCAAAGTGGAAAACGGCCGATTTTTGATGAAATTGTGACCGAGCGCCTTAGGGATTATTCATAAAATCTTTTTCTTCAGCTGAAGTAGTCGAGGTCTGATTTCTTGGCCTATGATCAAAAGACTTCCGTTTGCACCGCCAAACCTTTCAGGGGAGAGTTTGCAATCGTTTGGCACCATTTTTGAGCAAAGTGGAAAATGGCCGATTTTTTATGAAATTGTGACCGCGCCGCTTAGGTATTTTTTCAGAATTTTTTTCCCCGCAGGTGAAGTAATCGAGGGCTGATTTCTTCGCCTATGATCAAAAGACTTCCGTTTCCACTGCCAAACCTTTCAGGGGAGAGTTTGCAACAGTTTGGCACCATTTTTGAGCAAAGTGGAAAACGTGCGATTTTTGATGAAATTGTGACCGCGCGGCTTAGGTATTTTTTCAGAATTTTTTTTCCCGCAGGTGAAGTAATCGAGGGCTGATTTCTTTGCCTATGATCAAAAGACTTCCGTTTCCACCCCCAAAACTTTCAGGGGAGAGTTTGCAACAGTTTGGCACCATTTTTGAGGAAAGTGGAAAACGGCCGATTTTTGATGAAATTGTGACCGCGCGCCTTAGGGATTTTTTCAGAATTTTTTTTCCCGCAGGTGAAGTAATCGAGGGCTGATTTCTTCGCCTATGATCAAAAGACTTCCGTTTCCACGGCCAAACCTTTCAGGGGAGAGTTTCCATCAGTTTGGCACCATTTTTGAGCAAAGTGGAAAATGGCCGATTTTTGATGAAATTGTGACCGCGCGCCTTAGGGATTTTTCAGAAAAACTTTTCTACACATGAAGTAGTCGAGGTCTGATTTCTTGGCCTATGATCAAAAGACTTCCGTTTGCACCGCCAAACCTTTCAGGGGAGAGTTTGCAACCGTTTGGCACCATTTTTGAGCAAAGTGGAAAACGGACGATTTTTGATGAAATTGTGACCGCGCGGCTTAGGGATTTTTCAGAAAAATCTTTTTCCGCAGGTGAAGTAGTCGAGGGCTGATTTCTTGGCCTATGATCAAACGCCTTACGTATTCACCGCCAAACCTTTCAGGGGAGAGTTTGCAACAGTTTGGCACCTTTTTTGAGCAAAGTGTAAAACGGCCGATTTTTGATGAAATTGTGACCGCGCGGCTTAGGGATTTTTTCTGAATTTTTTTCCCCGCAGGTGAAGTAGTCGAAGGCTTATTTCTTGGCCTATGATCAAAAGACTTCCGTTTCCACTGCCAAACCTTTCAGTGGAGAGTTTGCAACAGTTTTGCACCATTTTTGAGCAAAGTGGAAAACGGCCGATTTTTGATGAAATTGTGACCGCGCGCCTTAGGGATTTTTCAAAAAAATCTTTTTCTGCAGCTGAAGTAGTCGAGGGCTGATTTCTTGGCGTATAATCAAAAGCCTTCCGTATTCCCCGCCAAACCTTTCAGGGAAGAGTTTGCAACAGTTTGGCACCATTTTTGAGCAAAGTGCAAAACGGCCGATTTTTGATGAAAGTGTGACCACGCGGCTTAGTGATTTTTCAGAAAAATCTTTTTCCGCAGGTGAAGTAGTCGAGGGCTGATTTCCTGGCCTATGATCAAAAGCCTTCCGTATTCCCCGCCAAACCTTTCAGGGAAGAGTTTGCAACAGTTTGGCACCATTTTTGAGCAAAGTGGAAAACGGCCGATTTTTGATGAAATTGTGACCGCGCGGCTTAGGGATATTTCATATATTTTTCCGCAGGTGAAGTAGTCGAGGGCTGATTTATTGGCCTATGATAAAAAGACTTCCGTTTCCACCGCCAAACCTTTCAGGGGAGAGTTTGCAACAGTTTGGAACCATTTTTGAGCAAAGTGGAAAACGGACGATTTTTGATGAAAGTGTGACCGCGCGCCTTAGGGATTTTTCAAAAAAATCTTTTTCTACAGATGAGGTAGTCGAGGGCTGATTTCTTGGCCTATGATCAAAAGGCTTCCGTATTCCCCGCCAAACCTTTCAGGGAAGAGTTTTCAATGGTTTGGCACCATTTTTGAGCAAAGTGGAAAACGGCCGATTTTTGATGAAATTCTGATCGCGCGCCTTAGGGATTCATCAGAAATATCATTTTCCACAGGTGAAGTAATCGAGGGCTGATTCCTTGGCCTATGATCAAAAGGCTTCCGTATTCACAGCCAAACCTTTCAGGGAAGAGTTTGCAACCCTTTGGCACCATTTTTCAGCAAAGTGGAAAACGGACGATTTTTGATGAAATTGTGACCGCTCGGCTTAGGGATTTTTTCAGAATTTTTTTTTTCGCAGGTGAAGGAGTCGAGGGCTGATTTCTTCGCCTATGATCAAAAGACTTCCGTTTCCACCGCCAAACCTTTCAGGGGAGAGTTTGCAACAGTTTGGCACCATTTTTGAGCAAAGTGGAAAACGGCCGATTTTTGATGAAATTGTGACCGCGCGCCTTAGTGATTTTTCAGAAAAATCATTTTCTGCAGGTGAAGTAATCGAGGGCTGATTTCTTGGCCTATGATCAAAAGACTTCCGTTTCCACCGCCAAACCTTTCAGGGGAGAGTTTGCAACAGTTTGGCACCATTTTTGAGCAAAGTGGAAAACGGCCGATTTTTGATGAAATTGTGACCACGCGGCTTAGGGATTTTTTCAGAATTTTTTTTTCCACAGGTGAAGTAGTCGAAGGCTGATTTCTTGGCCTATGATCAAAAGACTTCCGTATTCCCCGCCAAACCTTTCAGGGAAGAATTTGCAACAGTTTGGCACC